TGAGTTTTTTGGCAATACTAAAAGTAAATTAGGCTAATTGACTTTTAGTATTGGGGAAAAAACTGGAGTTGGGAAAAAAAATCTACTATTGCCATGTTGGGTCCACTATTGGCCATGCCCTCTGGACAAGGTCAGAACATGAGTTTTTTGGCCAAATAAAATGAAATTAAGCTAATTGACTTTTAGTATTGGAGATAAAACTGGAGTTGGGAAAAAAAGTTTCTACTATTGACAAGGTATCATTATTTGCTAGACAACATTAAATAGTTTTCTTATGGTTTCTTGCTAAACACCCATTCAAAAGGACCACCATAGAATCACATTTTTTTATCGTGCACGAAATCGTGCTCCATTCCGTTTTTCTTTTGTATTTTTCTTCGTTCGCCCAATCGTGCTACAGTTCGTGTCTTTTTGTGGTCTTCGTTGTGCACCAAATCGTGCCGTTTTTCTTCGTGCACCAAATCGTGTTCCAATTCGTTTTTTCTGTTGTTTCTCGTTCACCAAATCATGCGGCAGTGCGTGCTTTGTTTTTGCATTTTTCTTCGTGCACTTAATCCGGCTCGTTTTTTTGTGTTTTGTCGTGCGCCAGATCGTGCGCAGTTCGTGTTTTGTTTTCAGATTGTCTTCGTGCACCAAATCATGTTCCAGTCCGTGTATTTTTGGTATCGCATTTTTTTCTTTTATATAATTCACTAAATCGCGTTCTAGTTCATTTTTTTGTGTTTTTTTCGTGCACGAAATCATACCCGACTTCGTGCCACTGTGACAATATTTGGGCAAAACACAAATGACGACGATGACGACGACGACGACGATGATGATGATCGTGTGCTCGGATGGCGTCGTACCCTGACGTCCGAATGTTGTTGTGTAGACCCCCGATGTCTTTCCCGGTTGTGTTTCCCTATGTAGGGCTTTGTCAATTTTGTCACCTGTGCAACCCCCAGCTCAGAGCAACCCTGTTTCGACCTTTCCCCATGCTGTTTCCCACAACGGGGAAATCAGAAATGGTGGGTAAAAGGGTTGTTAAATGATATATGTTTTGATGGATATTTCTTTGTTTACTGATTACTGTTTGTTTTCTTTGTTTAATTTCTGGTTGTTTTTACCTGTTTTCCTTTATTTGGGTTCCAGATGGCTGGATTTCTGTGGGTTCCTGATTCTATACAGGGGAGTGTGGTTCATTTGGTGGTATCCTGATTTTATATATTTTATAAAGGGGAGGGGGCTGCTTTTTTTTGGGCTCCTGATTTTGTAGAGGGGCGGTCTGCTTTTCCAGGGGGATAACTGGCTGTTGATGTTGAAGCTAGCCCCCAAATGCCACAGCAAAACATATGGAAGCAAGAAAAGATCTAAGACAATGAATCAAACACATCAAAAACCATTGGTCTCTATAATGTGTTATGTTTTGACCTGGTGCCTTTCAAGGCCATGCTGTGAAGAACATGGGAGGAGCCCTGTGCTCAGTAGACTCTCATCAAATGGCGCTGGTTTTTGAACGTATCATTTTATCACACCATGTTCAAACAAATTTAAGGAATGTATTAATTTGATTATTTTATATAGATGATTTCAGGAATGGTGGGGCACAGAAGAATCATTTCAAAACAATCCGACACTGTCTCCCTAGCACCGGCCCAGGACCAGAAAAAGGGAACATTCATATCATCAACCATTGTTGAGAATATCAAAAAATAAAACATCTTGAAAGCAGAGATCTTCTTACATGCTCAATTTGTTAAAAGAAACACAATCTACAAAATCAGCCTTTTGACGAAAGACTTTATCCTCTATAGAATCAGAATTACAATTTCGGAGATGTTTGGTCCAAAACCCCCAAAGAGGTCCTCTATAGAATCAAAAGCAGAAAATCGAACCTCTATAGAATCAGTACGCCAGTTTCCCATGCGCCAAAAGGCGTAATATGGCGTAATAAAAAAACAGTTTATCTGGAGCACGTGCGCCATCATTTTGTAGAGGACATTGGCAGGGGGATCAAATTATTACCTATTTGTTCGCATATGTCTCGAAAAGGCCTTGTGAAGTAGATACTGTGATGTGCTCTTGGCCGATCTAAATCCATATATTGATCCATATTGTGTGTATCACATAAGTTTGGATCGAGTACATCTGACAAACCTACCCCTTATGAGCATCATGTATATTTATATTATTTGTCAATGGAATTCTATAATGATATTGGTCGGTAATTAATTGGCTGGATTGTCTTTATCTCCTTTTTTTGTATAGCGGGACTACACGCGCGAAAATTTCAAAAATCTGGGGCACGTCGCTGTCAATACCAGACATTTATCAAGTCAAGAAGCCAGGATCTATTAGCTGAATCTATCCATTTAAACAACTCCATCGTGATATGATCCGGCTGTGGTTGTTTGCGCATGTCATCCAACTCTGCAATCGTAAGCAGGCCAATATTGAAGGAATGGCTAAGGTCCTGTATGTTATCAAGTCTTTCTAGGGGATGGCAAAAATCATTTGACCATTGTTTCACATGTTTCACTTCCAAATATGAGGCGATTGCTTCTGCACGGTCTGTTGGCGCTACGTATTCCCCGTTTAAGCTTTTCATGTGCATAAAGCGAGGTTGTCGCTCTATGTCGCTCTTTCCTCAATCCCCTTAATACCTTCCAATTTTCTTTTTGATTGGGCAGTTCCCTTATGGATTCCATAAGTGCATTCTTCTATATTCTTCTTATTCCATGCTTGCATTCTGGCAAAATTCTTGATTTGGTGGGTCGGCAAGATAGCAGTCTGATTATCCCCTCTAGAATGAGTTTCTTGTCTTTCCATGTCGTTCCTCAATTTTTTCCCAGGTTTCAGCAGAAAGGTCTCCTTTGTGCCTCTGGTTTTTATGAAAGATTAGATTCAGCGGCTTTGAGGATATGTTTCATGTATACAGCTCCATGTCTGAGTCTGTACATCCGCGGGGTGAAACCTTGACAGCCTTCTAGCTAAATCTCTATTGTATGCCTCATTATCTTTTTCGGACGGTTGTCGAAATTTAAGTCATCTGGAACTCTGGAACTCACTTTTGGTGCCTTGCAAGTGGTACCGGGGTCCAACTCACGCCCACGTCTCTTCAGGGTCGTCGGGCTTTGGTTTGCGTTTTGATCGTGTAACCGTAACCATTGAGTTCACTATCCTGGGCACGTCTGCAGCCTCGGGGGCTCGTGGCTCGTGGTATAACATAACAGATGCGACTACAGAAACGAAACGGTGTTCTTCGGCCATCGCGGCTCTCGGTCTCATCCATTTTTTTCGGTTTTCTTTCGGGCAATCCTCTCGGGTTCTGCTTTCGTATGGTCTCAGCAAAATGATGCATGGTTTTGTTCCACACTTTCATCCCGGTGCTTTGGTCCGTCCGGCGGCTATCCGTCGTGCGCAAGGCGTCATGTATGCAGCTACCAAGTTTTTGCGCGGGATCGTCTGGCAGTCTGGCAGGGCTCTTGCAGCCTCTTTGCGTCATGGGGTGTCGTGTCTCCTTACTGCCGTCTTCAACTTCAAGCAACGGGAGCTGGCCTGGTCTGCTGCTGCGGCTAAAGTCCAAGGAAACATCTCTAGGCCGGGAAAAGCTCTTCGAGTCCATGACCTGCGACGTTTACGGATTTTCGCGGAACTGTGTGCAACGATGTTCAACGAACTGCGGTGTGATGCGGTATGAGCACAGTATGTTTGTTGCGTTGTGTCTTGGGATGCTCGAAGTTCCCGCTTTCGTCGTCGCTGGCAGACTGGCAACGGCTATGCAATGGCTTGGATAGGCCATTCTCCTCCACAATCAGAAGAGGCAACGAAAATTTCTGGGCACGCGTTCCGCTTTGCAAGCATGACGTCTTAGCTTCCTACATCGTGACATGATAATAGACATGCTACTATGTTTATTTCCCTGCCTCCCTACCCTCCTTCTTGAAAGCCGACGAAAATCGAACGGATGTTGATTCATTGCAGGACGAGTCTTGCTGTAACATGCAGCTGCATATATCACTGCCTTCAGCTGCCAGAGAATGAGTTCTTATAAAACACGGGCGCATGCCTGTAGGCTGGTATGTATTTTGCTGCATACTGTCATGTTAAAGTTGGTGCTGGATTGCAAGGGGGACAACATTTAATTCACATACTGTAAGACTGTAAGTCGACTACCCTCCAGCACGGCATCTGCAGGAATTCCTACAGTGTTTCTCTGCTTCCCATGACTCCTTGAAGCACTGGATTAGGTCAAAACGTGTGACCAAAAGCTCCAAGGATGCTCCAAGGCTAGAGCCGGAGAAAGTTTTTCATGCTTCGTCTGCCAGTGTTGTGGTTTGCCAAACGATTCAAGGTTGGTAAACCCAGCCACCGATGGCAGCAGTGGTCGGCGTTAGTAGCGCTAGAGGTTTGCAGACGTGCGCCAAGGACCGCCAAGGTCTGCTGCTCGAAGCGGTTGAGTGATTCTACGCCTCTACGCGCGAGCCAAGTGAGCCTTCAAGCCATCCTCGTGTTGTTTGCTGCAAACTTCAGCAGTGCCACACCACTCGTTTTTGGACTGCAATGCAGTGGCACGTTGGATCGCAAGGAGGTGTCTTCGAATGCTACAAATGTCTGAGAGATGCAAAAGGCATCATAGTATTTGTTTGCTTATGGCAGTCCCCAGAAGACACCCCTTCTACCTGGCATGGTATGATTGCTCTAGTCACTTCATTATTGAAGTGCGAGCTTGTGAGCGCAGAAAAATCTCTGGCTTGTTCGCCGTTTGCTGACCACAAGGATTTCGATACACAGATGATATACACGTAATATCACGTAATACACGGTGAAATGATAGGAAATGACAAGAGATGTATACATTGGCAACAGTTGATAACAGTTGGTTAACCTGTTGTACAAAGAGAACAAACATATTATCATATTGGCTATTGGAATCAAAATCATTCAAAACCATGCGAGCTGCTTTGACTGTAAGCACCTTGAAGGGATCTGCCATGAAGGTGTTGTTTTCACATGTTGCGAAAGATGCGAAAACGTTCTCTGTCTTTGATGCATTGTCTACTTGACGGGTCTCTCATTAGCGTTAGGAGCTCCAATGCCAAACCTGACACGACAACTGACCTGGATTTGGAACATCGGTGGAACAGCTCGATGAGCGAAAAGTCCAGGAGTTAAGATATTTATATATATCATATAAATTATAAGTCCAGGAGTTAAGATATTTATATATTATATTATAATATAATTTATAATTATTATATAATAATTATATAGAGATGGCAAAATTAAATGATGCAAAATGATGCAAAATGGTGCAAAATGAGTTTTCCAATGTTTTCCAGCAAAACAAACAACTGCCGGTCAAAGCATCACTCCAGCGGCCAACTCACAATCACCATTGCAAGATATTGCAAGATCAAGCAAGGCTGGCGGCTGCCTATTCTGTCTGGCCTCGATGTTCCTCACCACGAAATCAGTTCCAGCCTGGGAAGATAAACTAGATACAACAAGATCAACAAAATTAGTTGCTGATATTTCGCTGATGATGATTGCTTGGGGAGCACTGTGATGTTTGCAAAGTTCGACTACACGCGCAAGACTCCATGTTTCGACAGACTCGGCCAAATCTCAAGATAGCGAAGCAATCGGACAGACTATGCAACCAAAATGGTATGGTCCAGGGCCCAGGGATATCCAGGATGAGGTGCGAATCAACCCTGTCTACAACCCTGTCTGCCCGGAGTCTACCCGGAGTCTACCCGGAGTCTACCCGGAGTCTACCCGGAGTCTACCCGGAGTCTACCCGGAGTCTACCCGGAGTCTACCCGGAGTCTGCCCGGAGTCTACCCGGAGTCTACCCTGTCTTTGTGGCACAGGCAGCTCGATGCACCGATGCTCGGCGGCCCATCGGATCCATCGGACCAGGGTCTCAGACAGTGCACAAAGAGGGCGAACCGAAGCCAACCGATGGCCACGAAGCTCCACGCAACAGGTCCTGCCGCTGCCACAGCTGCCACAGGTGCTGCAACATGCTGCAGGATATCAGGTCATAGAAATGTGCGAAATACGTCAAGGATAGGGGTGAAAACCTCGAAAGTCTTCATCTTGGAGAGATTTCAAGATATCACTTTGAACAAAGTTTCACTCCATCCCTACAGGTTGCGATAGTCCGGCTTGCACGACGGCCTGATCAATAAAAAGGGCGGGTCCATCAGTTCCGACAACGATGCCCTCAGATGCAGGAATTTCACACCGATTGGAATTTCTAGGCTTTGCGGTTTCATGCAGCTTCCGCCTTTGGCAATCCTTGTGTAAAGTACGAACTCTAGAGAGCGAAGGAACCAAGCAAGTCATTCGCCAAAGTGTATAAACATGCTCATATTCAGAAGCCGCAAATCTATTGCAATATATTCAGTACATATTCAATACAGATTGGTAACCATTGGTAATACGGTATATATAATATATTTAATTATATATATATATGTTGGTTGGGTTTAGAAGGGCAGTGATCTTTTCAGTAAAGGAGTATACAAACAATGAACTCACAAAAACAACAAATAAGAAAAAACAAAATAAAACCAAATAAAAAGAACAAAATGAAGCTAAAAAACAAAACAGAAACATTTTTTGAAAAATGATTGATATTTTTTGTGCTTTTCTGTCAATTTTTGTTGAATTAAGTTTCGCTGCAGTTGGAATCTTTGCTTATATCATCCTGTCCCAACACAGCTGCAAAGGCAAAGGCTGACAGTTTTTTTTCCTCAGCAGAGCCATGCGCAAAGAGTCCTTGCTCTGGCTGCTACATGATTTGAAAAAAGAACTACCGGCTGCTTTGAAGACCTTGCCGCTCATCATCAAACTGCCCGCTTTGAAAGCGTCTCTACTTGCCTTTTCTAGCTCTCTTGTAGATTCGCTCATCCAGAGCACTCATCACGATCTCGGCCTGAGGCTTGCTTTCCATGGGAGCAGTTGAATCCAAAGCTTCCATCGCCCCAAGGGCAAGGGCCATCTCCTGCACAATGTATGGGCACAAAAACAGCCACCACCTAATTGCCATGAACCCACTTAAATACACGAACGAGGGACGCCAAACTCACGGCTCACAAAATCTAAGTCTTAAAAAATCAAGGAGGCGAGAAAACAAAGGAGGAAGAGAAGGAATATCAAGACCGCATTGGCCACGCTATGAACAGTCAACAGTCAACAAACATTCCAACACGAGTCCTCGGTCTGTGACAAAGCCAACTGAACTGCTTGCCCGGATAGAGTCCGATCTTTCCAATTTAAAGCAGCCAGCGCACATTGTACCATAGCAAGGACTACTGGCAATGCCATGGCGTTGCCTGCCAGGTCCATCATGAGCGCTTCAGAAGGATGCCATTGCTGCGCCAAAGGCATGGTCTCCATGCGCGCTGCCAAAATTTGCAAGAAAGGTTGGACTGGAAAGCCTTGCATGAGCAAAGCCTCTCGCCCAAGGACTAGGCGATTCTGTGCCTCACACCAAAGAACCATCCTTGGAAGCACTGTGCTCATGACATGCTTGCTGGAATCTTGTCTCCAGGTGTTCGAATTTCCTCGCACGATTGACTGAGACAAATCTCGGAACACAATGTACGTGGTGCATTGCTGCAGCAAAGACAAAGCGTCTTGCTCACGGTCACCCAAAGTCTGGTACCACTGATTGGCGGCCAATTTTGCTGGGACAGCTTGCCCCCAACGCACCCGGTGATTTTGGGCAAACTGCATGTGCTCGACCCAACTCTGAGGGGGAGCGGGTGCTCCTTGTTTCTTCTCGGCGTCCTTCTCCCTTTGTTTCGCCCGCTTGTCTAAGCGCAACCCGAGTTCCAGTTGAACTGGTTCCGAACTTTCCTGGAAAAGGATCTGGGTCACACAAGGCCCGCCTCGAAGGCAACCAAGCAGCAAAGCCCGGAAGGTGGCAAAAGCAGCTGTCAAAGGCGTGGTAGTAAAGTCCAGAAGCGGGTTCACGGCTGTTCGGACTAGAAGAACATAAATTCTCCTCCGGCGGGCGCTACATCCAAACTCGGCTGCATCTGTCATGCAGACCTGACTCTCATACCCCCGGGCGGAAGTCTCGGCCAAAAAGATGTCCATGTTGTTCATGTCCGTGCCCTTGCTGTCGTCCATGGCGTCTACATTCTCGAAAAGCACTAAGGGTGGGCATTTGCTCTGCAAATAGGACAGCATTCCTTGGAATGTCTGTGCGGAGCCTCCCCGACTGACCTGCTGAGACAGCACTGCGGAATCCTTGTGCTGGCAGGGGTTTGCTCGGCTCATATCTTTGCAAGATGTCCCTAAAACCAGGAGGTCTACTCCCAATTCACAAATGTCCACGAACAAACATGGACTGGCAGCAGCATGGCTAGCAGGGGCTTCAAACTCGCAGCCGTGCTCGTCCTTGGTCACCAGTTTCTCTTTTGCGTCCCGGACAGAGTCCTTATCATCTGCATTGCGGAGCCTGTGCTTGTTTGGGTTTGCATTGTGCTTCTTGATCCATTCGTCCAGACTGGCCAGGAAAACGGCATGGTCAACTCTCTTCTCTGCGATCATCTTCACATATTTGGCTATGCTTCCGTACTTGTGGGAAAAGCCTAAGAGCTTCCAGACATTCCGGCACAAACTACACAACTTGGACTGGGGAACCCGGTACGTGACACCAGAGGCCTTGTCAAAGACTTTCCTGTAGGAACTCCATGGCCTACGGCTGCCATGCTTGTCATGCAGGTGGCTGCTTGTCAGGGGGCTTTCTGAGACACTGGTCTTCTGGCACAAAGCGCAGGTACAAGGCTTGCTCAGATCAAAACTGATCTGCTCTGCTACCGGTCCAGATGCCTCTGAACCCTTGTCCTCAAAACCGCCTTCAGACAGACCTCCAAAGTCTGACCCTGGAAGACTGGCCATTCGGCACGGACCTGCCAACCCTTTTGGTTGCAAAAGCGAAAGGAAAACAACTACAACTCACACAGCTTGAGCCTAAGCAGGAAGGACGACCTCTGGCAGACAAGCCTAAGGAGTCGAGACAACCAGGTGGCAACTCAGGAGCTTCAGGCTTCCCCTGCACAGAACCAAGTTCGAACTGCTAACTTCAAGCAGCAGCTGACAACTGAAAGGTTTTGCTGCACGAGAGTGCCTGTCGCGCACTGTTCGGGTGAAACTTGTCTGCTCTGTCTCTAGTCAGCTCTGGCAATGGGCTAAAACCAATCCAATCACCTCGGAGCAGGCTGGAACAGAATTGTAAATCTACTTTCTTTTTTGGCGAAAGCTATTTTCATCTTTTTTGATATATTTTTATTTTTTTGAATTTTCAAACTTTTTTGAAAACCCGGAATCTCGCACTTAACCACAAGTTAAGTGTATGAAAACAGGAGATACGTGAATGAAAACGGAAGATAAGTGTATGATTTTCAAAAATGAAAAAAAAATTGTTTTTCTTAATTGTTTTGAAAATTTAAATTGTTTTTAGAAAAACAATAAAATATCAAAATATCTGATAATGTTACTACTTTGGGTTGCCTTTGGCAAAACCTCCCCGCAAACCAAAATCCAAACCAACATGATCACCACTACTTGTTTGATTGCTGCAAAAGGATAAGAAGAAGACGCTGTGTCTGACTGTACTGTCGAAGAGGTCACGGCTTGGAAAGAAACCTGGGTGATATGAATGTAGATCTCAATGGTCCATCGTACTTGAACAAACTGCCACCGCTCGCTACCAAAGATCTATCGCGAATATATTTCGAAAGCCAGGTCACAACCACAAGCAAAACTTAAACAACGTCAGAAACTATAAAGCGGAAAGTCACTTCAAAGGACTCAAAGACTTGAGGCCTTGAGGCAGTATATTGTCGAATTTTCTCGTCCATCTCTTCTTCTGAGGGGCCTTCGGCAAAAGCTTGTAAGCCAGGTCCTCCCATGGCCACATGATCTGACCGAGCGTTCTGGACAGAAAGCTCTGCATCATTGAGCCCGGCTAGAAGCCACCGTTTCAATCGTAATATGCAAGCGCTGTGGCTCAACCGGCCCATGCTTAAAGCTTTCTTGCACCTCGAGCCACTTCCATCTCCTCTGTTGTGGTGCAAGCCGCAAATGGCTCCCCACCCGGTTTGTCCTCCTTGCGGCACAATGGGCGACAGCAAGAAGGGTCCCCAACGAACCCCTCGCTTTTGTACCACTCTCTTTGACTTCGCGGACTGGACAGCCCGGCCAGAGGCCGCGTCAACAGCAATGCCTGCAGACGACTCCGTGGAGCTTCCCTTGAGACCAAGCTCGGAACTTGGCAAGCCTCGACCAACGGCCGAAACGTCAGCGGCAGAGTCTGAGCCGCAAATGTCAAGTTTCCCTGCGCCCAGATTCAAATCAAGGGGCATCCATGGGTCCTGGTCCTCTTCACCAGCACTGCCAGCCCATTCACTGTCTTCAGACCAGCTCTCCTCAGACAAACGGGAAGGCGAAAGTTCTCCTTGCTCATCGCAAGGCATGGCAGGTTGTCGCGCTTTCTTTGTGCTGCCTGAGGGCCCCGGGGCCGCCTTTGTCTTTTTTGACCACTTTTGAGTCGTTCCATCAAGCGGAAAGCCCGCATGGCCAAGTCGTTTTCCTTCTGTTGGCGGGCTTCCTCTTGCAAGTGCTCTGCTGCGTCATAAGAAATTTTGCGGGCAATGCGAAACTCTGACGGATCATCATCAATGCCTGCAAGCTCCAAGCGGTGGATGACCCAATCACCCGCCTCGAGGGCAAGCTGAGCACAAATGGCCAAATCATTGTCGTGCAGAGGCGCTGCATCCAAGCGATCCGCATAATATTGCACACGCAAACTGAAAGGAGGCTCCTCTATCAAACCAACATTGGGGCCCAAGCGCAGGAACAACATGTCCATTGGAGAGTCCATGGTCCGGAAGGCAAGCAGCACGGACACAGTCTTTGCCAGACTTGCAGATTCCCACGAGGATCATGTTTTTTCACCAGAACGCACAAGTCTGCATGCAACTTTCTGTGCAAGGCCAGCTGTTCACGAGAAAGATGCCCAGTGCAACCTCCAGGTGGGCAAGCGGTGAACAAGTTCTTCGCTTCTGTCAAGGGCACAGGGTCCGAGACCTCCTCTGCATCCCCGTGCTCCTGGACGTTTGATGTGAAAAAAACAAACAATTATAATAGCAAGGAGTAAAGCCATAGGTCCAATGCCCATGTGAACACAAGACCGAGGTGGCAGTTGCCGCTTCGTGCTGAAGGCTCAATGAAAACGTAGACTCATCAAACATGAGGCTCCGAATTCAAAAATCAAGGCTACCCTGGGACCCAGTTTGCTGAACTAAAGCCATCCCATGATTTTGCCCTTCCAAGATGGCTGAGGCAGTGACAAACCGACACCTTCCAGCATGCTTTGGCCCACCTCCTGCAATGCTGCTGGCGATTTGTCTGGAAGTTGCTGACTCTGAGCTGAATCCAGCACGCAAAACAGCGGGCGCGGTCCACCGTTTCCATTTACCTTTGCCTTTCTCTGTTTTTCGCTCAAAGTCATTTGCTGAAGCTGGAAACGCATGGTCGGCCCCTCTAGCACGGCCACTGGCATTGTATTCATGTGCCTGTTGGTCCACCAAGCTTTGTTTTTTCTTCAACCTTTGCTTTCTGGTTCGCTTCTGTTTGGCGTGTCTTAGCAAACCCGGTCGAAGACCTGCCCCAAACCTCTGCCGCACAGTAGCTCTATTACTTGGCCTCGGCTCTGAACATGTCTCTTCGTTGGGATGTGTATCTTCGATGATGTTTAAAACATCATCCAGACTCAACTCCGCCATTGCCCATGCTGACAACACAAAAGATTAAGCCAAACAGCTGCCGGCAACTCTTGGGCACAACCAAGCACTGGTCATGTCAGCATCAACTGGTGCTGTGCGCAATCAAGTTGGTATTAGTTTTGTTTTGCCCTGCCCTGGTGGATACATCTTTCTCCTTGTATGTGTCCTGAATATGTCCGCACTTGTGCCATGATTCTGTACTTCCAAGCTATGGCCATTTTTGATCTGGTACTCCCAACTAGCTACAGATGACCCAAATATCCAGCAAACATATGTATGTTCACCAATGCATTTCTTGTATGAACAAAAATATCTTGTAAAAATCCAAGATATTTTATAAAAACATTATATTATTAAATGTATTTTATTGATATTGTTTTAGATTTATTGTTTTGTATTGTTTTATATTGTTTTATTGTTTTAATGTTTTTTTTGTTTTTTGAATTTTTCATTTGTGGTGGTTTACAGGGGTGTGCCTGTGAGGGCTCCCACAGGCCTTCTTAGATTCAATCAATATATATGTATATGTATGTAAATATGTGTTTCATACTTATTGCAACACAGACCCCGAGGTCACCTCTGGAAACCGCAACCAGCTCCGGAAAAACTGAGAGGCTCACCATGTGGTTACAAAACACCGAGGCAGAAGAGCTTGGAGCCTGGCCAAGATGGGCCAAGATGGGCCAAGATGGACCAAGATGGGCTCGGACCCCCATGGCTTCAATATGTCAGGAACAGGAACTGCAAAGTGATTCGAGACATGAACAATTCTGAAGAATCATTGACGACAATGAAAAACGATGAACAACAGGCATCTCTGAAGAAAAATTCAGAGATTGCAATATATGCACATCTGTTGTAATTGTGCACATCTGTTGTAATTATGTCACATGATTTTGCTCCACCGCAGGAGATGAATGGATATATCTCAAGATCTGACCATTCGATACAGTTGCAATTGATCCCATGGACTGTCTGGAACAAAGACAGTCTTTGCACGTCTGATCCATTCTGATCCAAAAACAACTTTTGTAACTCACAGCAACACCCGCTTCATCCCGCTTCCATGTCCAAATGCTTAGCTCTGCGCCTGGGCTTTCCGCAAAGCCTGATACATACTGTAGCTGCGACACAGGATGACAGGCTCATGACAGGCCAGTGGTGGCACAGTTTTTCCAAAAGGGCCAATAAAACTGTGGAAATGTGAAGGTTTTTATCAGTGATTTAACTGCACTGGATTCAAGAATCCATCGGAAATTCCAATCCCTTGAAACTCTGCTCTTTGTGCTGTCTTTGACTCCAGAGTTTTGACAGCGCAGCAGCTAGAACATGCATGAACATGCTAGAACAATTTGCAAACGTGCTAGATGAAGTGTCATCGTATCCCATATCCACATATACAACATATGCAGTCCAGAAGAAGCCACCCAAAGTGTGGAAACTCACACTGACTCTGAAGTCCACCCAGTCCACCCATGTCCTCAAGAGTTCCCCACAGTCCAGCCTCGAAGTACTTCGCTTTCCTCGGCTGTGAGTTGATAATCCACCCCTACAGAGGATAATGACTTGGGTTTGAGACATCTTGGGCTGAATTTGACCACCACAATCACTATATTCTTGGTATTGCAACAGCAGTATTACTCTGAGAGTACAGGTGTAAAAAGAAGATTGTACAGTATAAAGAAAAAAATATGAAGTAATTGTAAAAACATATATATATATAATATATATATATATAAATATGTGATATGTAAATATAATACAATATAATATATACTATAATAAACTATATACAAAATATTTAGTATTTATACATATATATATGAAAACAATTTTAAATGATATAATATCAAAGAATATAATATACAGTGATGGCCCAGCACTTAGAATATATTTAAAAATATTTTACGTTTTAAAATATTCTATGTGCAAGTTATAACTCCCACTTAGGATATGCCCATATTCTAAGTGTCATGCACTTAGAATATGAAAATTTGCACTTAGAATATGATTTTATGTTTAAGATATTTCAGGGTCTTTAAAATTTGGTTTTAGCTGGAAAAAATCAGTTAAGACGTTGCACTTAGAATATGAAAAAACATTAACTTTAGTATTGTTGTTTCTTTGTTTTTCTTTGGTTTTCTTTGATTTTCAATGTGTTTGGCTAGGTTTTAACTGGTTTTTTCTATGTTTTTTCATTTATATTTATTAATTGTTTTATTAAGTTTATTAGTTTTTTCACTGGTAATAATAATGTATGGTACAATAGAATGATTATATAATATATATAGTAGTGTACTATAACGTTATTTTACAATGCTAGTTTATAATGCTAGTGATTAAACGCCCGCCCAGCGCTCACATTCGTGGCTTTGTGACAGTTTCATGGTTAGCAACTGCATGATGCAGAGTACTGTAGTTTAGCAGGGTGGCAGTGCATAGAACTAAGAAATCCAAATCATTTGAGTATTGCATTGTATATTGTACTGTACTGTATTGCAAATTGTTTGAATGATGATGAGAACGCACACACAAACATACAGTGTATTGTATTCACTACTGTATTGTAATGTATTTTTCATGCATTGTATTGTAATAACGAATAGCTGCAGTGAATCATTAAAACACATTTTCACTATTGAGTCTAGTCCAGAAGACATGTCAAACAACATTATCTCACAATATGAAGCACATACAGTAACAGAATAGCACACAGTACAATACACCACATTAGCATCATACAAATCAACACATGTTCAAATTCTGTGCTAATGGTGGATGTCTGGAGAAGACGCGGGGCAGCTTAGAATTGCATGGTTCTTTCTGGTATAGATTACTGATTATTGTACTGTATTGTAGTGTACAATATTGTGATACATGTTGGTATGTTAATGTTTTTGTTTTTTTGGTATGTACAGTACAATATTGTTGCACCGTAGGGTAAGACAAATTTCATACTGTACAGTGTTGAAAAATGTAAGACACGTTGCACTGAAATATGTATGCAGCATGCAACCATTGGGTTATTTCATTTATTGTACAAAAGTGTACAGTACAATATAGTATTATAATGCGTTGTAAATTAAAATACAATACAGTACTGTAAAGTACTGTATTGTTCAGTAATGTAGAGTACTCTATTGCACAATACAATACTGTATATGATAAGTGCTGGGCCATCAGAGTAATAAAAAAATAGATTATAATATAATTAAATATATCAATATATGGAAATATATTTAAAAAAATGCTATATCATATAAAACAAAAAATGAATAGTAACAAATAAGTAAAAAATATTAAATAATAATACTTGTAAAAAATAAAAATAAAAACAAATAAAAACATATATAGTAATAAATAATAGTATAAAAATATAGAATAATAAATATATATATATATATATTAGTTAATTTACATGTAGAAAAAGATAATATATAGTAAAAAAAAGTAAGGTATAAAAATAATATATAATCATACAAAAATGTTTAAAGGGAAAAGTAGTTTAGAAAATAAAAAATATATAAAAATAGATAACAATATAAAAAATAATCTTAAAAACAAAATATAACAATATAAATAATAAGCTGCGATGACATATAATAATCAAAAAACTAATATATATTATATTCTAATAAATAAAAAGATATGTAATAATACATATTTATTGAAAATTTTGAAAAAAACTCAAAAATATAATAGTAACCAAGAATATAGTAATAATAAGATAAACGAATATTATCTAATAATAGACAGTCATAATAATAATAATAAATATAAATATAATGCGGGCTACCATAGGTAAAAACACTAGGCTCACCCCCCAAAATAATTTTTAGGAATTAATCTGAGGTGCTTCTAGTACACAACCCACCGCAAAATATTTTTTTCAGAAACACTCTAACCCACCTCAAAATAATTTCCTTTGACACTACCCACCCCCCCAAAATAATTTCTGAAAGGTTGCAAATAAAATATTTGGTAGGGTTCCACTATTACTCAAAAACACTTCCCTTACTTCAAAATAATTTTGGAAATTATTTCGAGGTGGTTTAAGATGGTTTTGGATGATTGAAAAAACAAGTAGAACCACCTCAAAATAATTAGCAAACAAAAACACAAAATTATTTTGGGGGGTCACCCTACCTCTCCTCTCGAATGCACCCGACAAGCACTAAACCATTTGGAGGTTGTGGCACAAATCAAATAAATCATCTCTAAACCGACCCCCTTTCACACCCAAAAATTATTTTGGGGGTGGTTCACTACTGAACCACTTATTATTTAGACCATCGATTTTTGGACAAAGAAATCTGAATCGACCCCTTCCTACCCAATAAATTATTTTGGGGTGGGGGTACCAACAGACCACCCCAGAAAAAATAGAGAGCTGGCCGCTGTGGGAGTGCACTTTTTTCCATGCAGTCATTACATTAATCATTATATTAGTCATTATATTAGTCATTATATAAGTCATTAAATAAATCATTATTTTTATCATTATATGAATCATTCTATGAATCATTATATTAGTCATCAAATGAATCATAAAATGAATCATCATTATATCAGTCATTAAATAATTCATTATTTTAATCATTTTATTAATCATTATATTAGTCATTATATATATATATCATTATATTAATCATGAAATTAGTCAATAAATTAACAAGTATATCAGCCATTACAAAAATCATTATATTAATCATTATCTTAGTCATTATAAAAGTCATTAAATAAATCATGAAATGAATCACTATATTTATCATTATATGAATCATTATGTTAATCATTATATTAACTATATTAGTCATTGCATTAGGCATTATATGAACCATTACATTAATCATTATATGATTCATGATAATAATCATGATATTAATCATTAAACTCTTCATTTTAATAATCATTAAATTAATCATTTTATTAATCATTCTAATAATCATGATGTTGATCATTTTATTAATCATTATATTGATCATTATATTAGTCATTATATGAATTGCTATTTTAATCATTGTATTAATCAGTATATTAATCATTATATCAATCATTATACTAATCATTTTAACATTCATTATCTTAGCCACTGTATTTATCATTAAATTAGTCATTAAATTAATCATTATATTAATCATTATATTAATCATTTTATTAATCATTACATTACTCATTATATATAAACTCATTAAATTAGTCAGTATTTTACTCATGATATTATAATCATTGTATTCATCATAATAGTAATCATTTTATTAATCATTCTTAAAATATAATCATGATACTAGTCATTAAAAAAGTCATTATAAAAGTCATTAAATGAATCATGAAAAGAATAATTATATTTATCATTAAATGAATCATTATATGAATCATGTTATTAATCATTATATGAATCATGATATTAATCATAAAAAATTGGTCAATAAATTAACAAGTATATCAGCCATTACAAAAATCATTATATTAATCATTATCTTAGTCATTATAAAAGTCATTAAATAAATCATGAAATGAATCACTATATTTATCATTATATGAATCATTATATTAATCATTATATGAATTATATTAGTCATTGCATTAGGCATTATATGAACCATTACATTAATCATTATATGAATCATGATAATAATCATGATATTAATCATTAAATTCTTCATTTTAATAATCATTAAATTAATCATTATATAAATCATTATATTCATCATGATATTGATTATTTTATTTATCATTTTATTAATCATTGTATTAATCATTTTATTAATCATTATATTAATCATTATATTAGTCATTATATTCTTGAAAAAATAAGTCATTATATTAATCATTATATTAGTCATTATATAAGTCATTAATGAATTTTGGTTTTTCCAGGTTTTTTTTTGCAGTTTGGCCTGGGGGGCGCAGGTGTGCAAATTGTAGAGACGCGCATTTTTTTGAGAGGTACTGTGATGACAGCATCTTCACATGAAAAACATTCAAAACAACAATGGAAAAAACAAAAAAAAAGTTCAGACCCATGGGCAAGGTCTGGGAGAGGCCTCGCAGGGTACATGGGTCTGAACTTTTTGTTTTTTTGGTTTTTCCATGGTTTTTTGCAGTTTGGCCAAGAACCTCGAGAACACAAAAAAAAAAAGTTCAGACCCATGGGCAAGGTCTGGGCTATCCACACACAAACCAAAAAACCAAAAAAACAAAAAAAACAAAAAACCAAGAAACCAAAAAACCAACAAAAACAAAAAAAACAAGATTGCACACCCCAAGGGGAGGGGGTCAGATGCAGAGTGTTGGGTCTTGTCTTTTTGTTTTTTTTGTTTTTTTTTGTTTTTTGTTTTTTTGGTTTTTTGGTTTGTGTGTGGATAGCCCAGACCTTGCCCATGGGTCTGAACTTTTTTTTTTGTGTTCTCGAGGTTCTTGGCCAAACTGCAAAAAACGATGGAAAAAACAAAAAAACAAAAAAACAAAAAACCAAAAAACCAAGAAACCAAAAAACCAAAAAACCAAAAAAACAAAAAAACAAAAAACCAAGAAACCAAAAAACCAACAAAACCAAGATTGCACACCCCAAGGGGAGGGGGTCAGATGCAGAGTGTTGGGTCTTGTCTTTTTGGTTTTTTTGGTTTTTTTGGTTTTTTGGTTTTTTGGTTTTTTGGTTTTTTGGTTGTGGATAGCCATTGCAGATGTGCCAAGCAGAGGTTGCCAGGCACTGTCAGTGGTTGCACTAGAAGCAAGGTCGATACACTACAGTACAGCAATGTTTGCTATGACATAGTGCGTTCAGCCAATGAACAGCAGAGAGGAATGGAATTCAATTTTGTCCGGTTGCGCCATATGCTGTTGGATCTTTGCACAGGAAATGCTGCAATTTGCGCACTCCCACAGTGGCCTGTTCTGAAAAAATAATAGCCTAACCTGGCAAAATTAACTTCCCCTTGAATAGTTCAAAAATACTACATTGAACCAAATTGAATCCAAATTGAATCAAATTGACCCAAGCTGTATCCAAGTTGCCTCAAAGAGACAAACCCTGAGAATTACCATGAATTACTTACTGAACTACTTATTTTTTAGAACATCGACTTATCATCGACTTTTGGGCAAAGAAACCTGAATCGATTCCTCTCTTCCCAAAAAAATATTTTGGGGGTGGGGGTACTACCAGACCACCCCAGAAAACAAAATAACCTAACCTTGCAAAACTCAACTTCCCCATGAAATAATTTTCATCCTGGGTGTCTGGTAATTATTTTATACAGTTGGGACTCTATGAAATAATTTCCCCAGTTCAACTGAGAAATTATTTTGAGGTGCCTTCGGTTGTTTGCTTAAAATTATTTCAAGGTGCTTCAACCTCTGTAGGTGGAAAATTATTTTGCACCATCATCGGGTTACGGGTGCATAAATTATTTTGCTATGGTTCTTGTTCGCTGGTGTTAACATAAAATTTATGTTAAAAATTGGAAATTATTTTAAAAAATATTCCATAACCAACTCCCACCTCAACATAATTTCCTAAGGTAGGACGCATTAAATAGATATGCGTATCATTATAATACAAATCTATATATTTATCATTATATGATATATAAATATATCATTCAAATTTATAAATAATATATAGAAATAGATAATAGATATACATATATATATATATACATATAATATGCGTAACCTATATATATAATATAAATAAATAAATAGATAAATAAAATAAATAAATAAATATATATATATTATACGATTTAATATACGTATACTATACTTCACAAATCAAAAGCGCTGCCAAAGTAGGAAAATTGTTTTCCTCCTCTTGGGCCCCGGACTGACCACTGAATCCTGCTGGAGGCGAGGCTCCTTCACTTTCCCTCAGAAGCTGAAGGACTGAGCGTTGTTCTTCCACTGATTTCGCTGACCCAAATCAGCAGTCATTGTCATTGTTGGTCATGCTGAGAACATGTTGAGAGCACATGTCAGTAACGGTATCTATCATTACCTACTTAAGTCTATTTCACCTGTCTTGCTGGACATGTTCAGGATGAATCACGTGAATGTGAATCCGCATGATACATCACAGGATATCACAGGTTTTTCCATTCACTCATTCGAAACATCATTCGAGTTGTTGCGCCGGGCGATTCATACTAAGCCGATGGCGGCTTTGGCACCGAAGCTCCCTGGCTCCGGACAGTGGGTGATCTTGGGTGTGGTTGACAAACATTGAGAAATCTATGAAACCTATATCATTAGTTATTATTGGGCATCTTGTATGCTGTGCCTTAGTGTGCCTTATATATCCTTATATCCTGATTATCTTAAAAGGTTGTTGATCAAAATTCCTTTATTCGCAAACGGCCATTCTTCGCGAACAAAAAAAATACTTTCGCGAACCTTTCGCGAACTCCACGTTTATCTTTCGCGGGCCCCATGTTGGGCAACAACGCCTCTTATGAAGATTTGTTCACCACCTGCCAAATTACGCCAGAGAAGCACGGATCACTTCTTGATAGCCATTTACGGATGGTCTGACTTGACCATGGGAGTGCCGGCACCAAGCGTGGCTAAAAACGTAAAGCTCCTGCCCGCGCCTGGCATCTGGCTGAATCTCCGTATGCCCTGCTTGAAAAGAGGCGTGCTTCAGACTCTGATAGCCTTTTAAACATGCAGCTGGCATCACGGAATCCCTTCTCAGGACAGATTGTTGTTTTTTTGCAAGGTTTACTGACGCCCCTTCAACATGCACTTTGAATTTCGCCCGCTCCTGGAAACTTGGCTGCTGCATTTGGAGCTTGTTTCTTGAGACTTCAAAAAGCATCATTAGGCAGTGACAGCGGCAGGTGTAAGGATGCGCTTCAGGACCATGGTGTTTGGCTGTCGCGAAGCCTCACCTTTGGAAGCTCGGCTGCTACCTATGAAGGGCAAGGTGATTGTCCAAAAGCACCATCACACAGGGAACTGAACTAGAACCAAACCGAAATTCTCCGGTGCCCTTCTCCTGCCGGACCCCGGGCGGCAGTGGGTGGCAGCTCTTTACATAATGATTATAATATCCAACTTTCGCGAAACCTTCGCGAATAAAAATGTTACTTTCGCGAACTCGAAAAAAAACTTTCGCGAGGGTTCCCAACATAACATGAACGGTCTTCGCAATTAAAACTCTTTACAAGGACCTTTAGATCATTATACCATAGTATCCGGACAGAGCCTCGCTGAACCTCGTTATGTCTGCTTGTTTCCAATGTTGATTGACTGGAAATATGTCAATGTCCTTAAATGTCCTTTAGGAAGAACTCCAGAGCCTAGCCTGAGACAACTTGCTTTGTTCTTTCGTGCATGTGCCATTGTCTGGCTCCCTGCCTCTATCTGAGAAGGAGAAGTGGGTGCGACACTTCGCCCATAGACCTGCTTGAGTCAAACATCCTTTGACAGTTGAAAACCACAAAACCTGTCCAAATATGTCCAAATCCTCCGTGTTTTCCTGCTGAATCCAACATGAGTTTTTGCTACCCCATCAGGACATGGAGCAAACTAAGGAGAAACCGAGGAGTTCTCTTTCCCTGGAAGATCTGGGTTGAACAAGCCACATCAAGCTACCAGTTCTGGGACGTGCCTCCGTGCGCCAGGCGCCTGCAAGTCGGGGTGTCCTGGCCATGGTGAGATTGGCTACATGCTGGGCATGCTACGTCCTGTTTCTTTGTTGTTTTCTGCGCACTTTCAATGTGGCTACAGATTGTTACAGTATGCTGCAGTTGTATTATGTTAAGTTGCAGTATATATATATATCAGTATATCACTTATGAATAGTTATGAACATATATGACAATTATATGTTTTGTATCTGCACCTATTCTGCACCTCTGTCACATCCTCCGTTCACTTCCAAACAAAATATGGACATTTGGATCCGCCTGAGATCCATCTGGCTACATTTGCCCATCTATGTCCATCTGGTATCCCTATATCTCCCTTCCCAGCGCTCCGGAGAGCCTAAAAACGAAGCATTCATGCGTGCCGTAGCATTGGCTCACGGGCCTTCCGGAGTGGAACCGCAATGTTTGCTTTGGTGAAAGATGTGAAAGAAAACTTGCCTTTGGACGTGGGTACCAGTTTTTCGCTTCAGACGTGTTGGCATATGTTGGCATGTGTTGGCATACGTTGGCAATGGGCATGGGAGGCATGGGTTGCCTTTTTGTGGACTTTCGCACTGCGTTTTGAGCGTCTTCCGCTCGGCGTACTACTCGAAGAGCCGAACTTTTTGCTCTTGAGTGCTGGCGTGTTGCTAAACTTGGCACAAAGTCATTGTCGCATCCTACGGTCTCATCGACTATTGATAATTCAAAGAAACGAGCCAAGTCAACAATCTGGAAGAATGTGTCAGTCATACTCGTGTCGTAGGTTGCAAGGTGGGCACTGCCGAAGCAGTGAAAGTCACTTTCTTCAAATGAAGCTTTCAGCTACCGTCGAACGCTTTCCGCGCTCTACGTTGCTTCATTTGCTCCATCCAATTAAAGTTGTATGGTACATTCGTCGTTCATTGCTTGGTGTGGATCGGAAATTCTTGATGTGTCCTCTTAGATCTCTTAGATCTCTTAGTTGTTTCAAACTCCAAGGAATGACGTCTGAAGTGTACCCGAGCTCAGGATCCAGTGACTGTTTGCAAGAATTGCGTGTAGTCACTGGATTTACGAAGATCAGGTCATATAAGCAATGCCACCTTGACTGACCTTGTCCTCTGGGCCACGCGAAAAATATCTGTCCTCAAAGTCTGACTGTTCATCGTAAGGGTGCCGAAACAGCTCCAAAAGCTCATTGACCATTGAGTAGTCTCCCAGCGCAGCCTCCGCTCCAAGTGCTTGATGTGCTGTAGACTATGGCATGGACTGGCATACATGGAAGTTGCAAGCTGTTTGATTGTGTCTTATGCAAAGCGACTAATTACATCTAATTATATACTATATTGGCCTGTAATGTGTCATATGTCACCATATAGAGGAAAGGAGTTGCTGCTACAGCACTGACTCTATATCTCACTCCCAAATACCCCCGGATCATATTTCATCTTGTTTTCCTCAAACTGAGGAATCAATCACGTTCTTGGTGCATGGTGGCACCTTGTCATAGGCTTCTGCCAGCATCCACTCTCTGGGAACGTATTTTGGATTCACCGCTCGCAGTCTGGCAGTGACTTCTGCCACATCACCTTCCACCAGCACTGCAGCAGCCCAGCTTTGCAGCCAAGCAGTCCATTCTGCAGCCAGGCCCTCAGGCAAGGCCTCGTATTGCATTTTCGGACCGCTGAGACTGGCTGTAGCGCATGGCCATGATGAATTCACTATGAATTACCAGTAATTGCCAATCTGAGTTCCAACTATTCTCAGCTGGTTCAGAGACGATACTTGTGATGCATGCAAGCTAAAAAGACAACATGTTGGATCATTTCGGTGGATGGACGTGATGCGGATCATTAGCTATGTATCTCTTGATCACAGCTCTTACCTTGTAGCCTGGCCTGGTAGAAAGCTCGTTGGATCTGCTTAAGTCCCATCTCAGGAGAGTCCTAAAGTTGCAGTGTCAAATGTTTGAATCAGCCGCTGACACAAACATTGTGGCGTTTCCGGTTCCATTTCATCAAGAGATAAGAGTGGGCAACTACTCCATGGCATGAATCTAAATCTACAAGACGGCTAGAAATGACAGACTGATACTGATACATTTTGATATTTCATTTGAAGGCGGAAGCTCGAAGCTCAAAAAAACTACTACGCGGGTTGGATTCGTTCAATTGGTGAATCAAACACTGAGCCCCAGTCTGAGCATTCCAGCACCGCAGCCAACTGCCTGAAGAAAATTGTGTAGTCAATGTCGGACTTCCTCCACAGAGTGCTTCTTGAATCTTGATTTTTGCTCCAAAGATTGTTGCCCCAAAAGAAATCACATTCAAAACAAATGCATGGCCCCAGAGATCTTGGAGAGGAGTCCTGATACATAAAATACAGGAATCATAACCAGTTTAACCAACTTGTTGCATTGCAAACATCTTCCTTGAACACAGGGGCAACGAAATTTTGTCCGACGTCCTCATCAAAGGTTCCAGTTCTTCCCACAACTCAGTGCCTTTCTCCGAGTCTCTCAAAAATCCCAGCTTGATGCGGAAAGTCTCTTGTGCGGCCGACTGGATCTTCTTCGCCCCTGCTTCCATCAAAGCCACTGCCTGTGGTTGAGCCTCTTGTCCCAGCAACACCGCTACCTTGAGCCGCAGGGAAAAAAAGATGGAAACCGTTGCCATAATTGGCATCATACTGCAGAGATGAATCTAGTTACACAAAGTTCACCACAGGGTGAAACGTCCTGCCAATCTCTAGTCCTAAACTTTTCACAACGCCAATCTAAGTAATTCTATGTAATTCTACAAGTAACTAGACACATGACATATGAGAAACGCCGATGAAATGGTTGCCACTTCTTTAGCCCAATAATGTTCTAGCCAACTCAGAAAAAAAAAACGTTCGCGAAGGATCATGTCTGCAGAAACAACGGTGACCATTGGTGGGCATCCTCAACTACAATCCCTACAAGGACTTGTATATAGATCAACTCACAAATGTGTATTCAACATAATCATGTTTTTTTTTATTCTTCACTTCCCTATCATTCTATCATATTCTATCGTTCCATACACTTCCCGGATGGAAGCCATTGAAAACAAGCACATAAAAAAATCTGAAAAGGTGACCCTTTAAGCAAATCGGATCATGGCTGAAGTCAGCAAAGTGTGGAAGTTGGCAATGGCAGCCTGTGGTTGGTTCAGAAAGCCATAGTGCTCTCCAGATCCAGTCCACTTGGCAAATAAAGGATTGTAGCGGTCTATCCATCCAAAGGGCCCATAGTCCATTGTGCGTCCGCCCACCAAGCAATTGTCTGAGTTAAAGTTCCCTTGACAAAAGCCAACTCGCAACCTGCAATGGTGGATTGGACGATTAAATGAAGGTCTTACATGATGTTGATCGATTTATAATACAATCATATAATATTATATAGTACATTATAATATTTACTTAATAATTAATTATAATTGCACATTGCACATGACCAACAACGCTGCTGAAAGCAAATGGTAGATAGCCAACCAGCAACCACCTGGCCCAAGCGTTCTGGAAATTCCTCCAGCATGGCAACAGCCTTGTCTCTCAGGTCTTCATTCCGCTCAGCAATTTTGGGATACTCTCTGAACAACGCATGTTCCACGATCTGTTCCAGCTCTCTCATGGCACTGGGAGATCCAGCTGCCCGCCGGGCAAACAAATCCACGTGGCCGACTCGAAGGAAGCTGGGCGCGACTCGTGTGGAGATGGCACAGGGCTCATCGATCACAGTATCAGGCTCCCGGCTTTGCCCAAACATGCCACCGCCAGATCCTGTGTACCATGCCCGCCTGTAGAGCAAAAAAATGATAACGAGGCACAAAATGCTGCAAACATGTCGTACAAACATTTGCAAAAAAGACCTGAGCACAAGTTGAATGCCTACTTTCAGAACTTGTGAGCACTGGACCTTACAAAAGCTCTTTGCCTACCCGGACGTCGAGGGATCAACCCAGGTTGAAAATGTTACAAATTATTAAAAGATTTTAAAAGGCTGGCCGAGGCTTCTCCGAGGTACCGAGCGGTCTCACCATGCGACACCACCAAGGACAGGGCTCGAGTGGTTTCGATGCCCAAGTGATGCATGGCCTCCGAGGCCAAGAACTCTCGCACCGAGGAGCGCAAAACTGCGCGGCCGTCGCCGCCTGGCGTGTTGAAATGGTCGTGCGTGTTTAGGACATGTTGAAATATGTGAAATCGCATCACACATCTAACTGAACATCTTTGCTCATATTTCATACAAGTCTTCATATTGTCAGGTAAGGGCTCATATTAAGTCTCCACACACAACTAAGAAAGCATATGAATCCTATTATAATATATTATAATGGGATATAATTGGTACATTACATTGACATAAATCATAAATCCATATAAATCCCCGTTGATGGATCAATGACCATCCCCCGGTAACCCATGTGTAGACAAGGCAACTTTCGACCGTGGCACATATGAAAGCTCTTTGCATGCCCTGAGTTCTTGCGCCACAGATGTCCAAAGGACATCTATGACACTATGACTATTAGACTATTACAGATATCAAAAGTCAAAAAATATCACAGGATACCATCATCATAAGACCATATAAAATCAGCATCTGATCAACATCTGAAGGAAACAAAGGAGTACGGCCAGTACGGCCTCGGCAAAAAGGTGTACGGCCGGCTCCTTTTAGCTGCAGCTCGTAGCGCTGACCATGGGTCATCAACTCTCCCACGGAGATGGCTCGACCATCGCCATAGCCGTTGCCATTTCCAAAGGGGCAGTTGGACACCATTCGCTGTCCCATAATGGCCAAGGCATAGGGAGTACACCAAGATTTCAGCTCTGGGACCTGAGTTTGGTCCCCTGAAAAGAAGGCCTTGAAGGCGTCGGTTTCAATCTCTTCAGGTGAGATTTCTAACATTTCAGCCACTTCTGCAGAGTAAACCACCAATTCTGGATCCGGCAAAGGGCTTGGCAAGACCTCGACGTAATGTCCAGAGGTGACCTGCCTGGGGCTCTTGTTTGGCGCATGGATTTCCGTTTCAGGATCTGGCGACAGCTGCTGCAGCCACGACTGATCAGTTTGCCTTGCTACTTTTTGTATGGATTCCAAACGGCCCACGGCGTAAGTTCTCACCCGAGCCCAACCGCGGCCAACTCGGCCAAGACTGACTGAAGCGAAGGCCACACAAGTCGTCGACAGCATTGACATCTTGGACATCGACGTCCTCAACGTGCACAAAAAAACAACAGAAAACAGCAGAAAGTGAACCAATCTTTCAGTAGACTGTTAAATGTTGATTGCTATTACATATATATATACTTATTTATTTCTTTTTGTATTTATTCATGCCATATTTGATCCACCAAAAATCATGCAAAATCATGTACAAAAAAATATACTATATACATCTCATGACTCGCTTATCATCCTGTATATAATGCTACACCGGGATACACCGGGTGTGTATGGACTAGGGTCAGTGCGTCATGGTAGTGTATGGACAGTATGGGGATATGGACAGTGCTTCCTCGAGATGATCGTTCTGCTGTGCCAATTGGCCAAGAGAAACAGTTTTGCCCAAGTCGGAAAGCATCCTTCAACGCAAAATTAATCAAAATTAGCATCATGATGTATTGGTCTAGGTCCAAGGTCAACGCTCCCCTGTATGGTCAATGCTTCCCCTGATGAGACAAACACTCAATGTCGCTCAATGTTCCTTGCAGATCCTTGCAGTATTAGATGTGACTGTGAAATGCTATGAATCATTATAAATCTCTATTTTTCTCATGAAGTTTCGGTATTCAGTAACTGCTTCCATCCCATATCCCATATATCCCATCCCATCACATTTCCAGATGTTGATGTTTCCAGGTGCCTTTCAAGCCGTGGGGTTCCAGGTCTGCCGATCACTGCCCGGCCCGGAGATGACAGGAAGGAGGCTCGGATAGCCATCGACATTGCGTGCCAAATCAGCTCGGTATCGATCACTTCAGAGTCTCGCATAGTTTCGGTATATTCATTTCGTATAGTGTCAGTCAATGTCAGTCATATTCAATTATACTTCAAACATGTTCAAATATAACAAATCAGGTACAAATCAGTCATATTCATTTCATTTGGGTTCATTCTCTGTTTCATCATCCGTCAGCAGTACACTTCCTGAATTCAGGATGCCTAACCGTTTTTAACTTGACTTATTAATCTGAATCTGTAGATAATCAAAACGTTGTTGGTTAATGTTAGTTTGATAGTCTGGATTGATCTGGATTGTGGGTTCCTCCATTATCTAGCATTTTCTAGCTAAAGATTACCTCATTGACCTACCAAACTAATGTTGTTCCAGCAAAGACGAGTGGACAAGAGTGGCGCAAACTAAAAATTGCAGGCCTCACAGCTTGAGTCTTTCACCTGAGGTTCCAACCCCAACCTATTCTACTGAATCGAAATCAAGGAATCAAGAAATCGTCGTCAACGGGAACTTACCATTCCCTGGCATTTGTCTTTGACTTCATTGTCTCCCATATATTTTGCAGCTTTGAGCAGTTGAAGGCGAAGCCAGGGAATCGTGCGGTGACTCATGACCCTGATTGATCTCAGAACCAGAGGAGTTCTGCCTTGCTATGACATCAGCTTGGTACCTGTTCCTACCACTCTGCAACCCATATTATCAAACTTGAGACTGCGACTGGTACTCTATCTCTTGGACTCATCCTCTGCCAAGCTCTGACTTTGAGCATCGAACACATCACGTCTCTATGACCATGCATGCTTCTGTGCACAAGCATCGTTGCGTCATGGTCGTCGCGCTTTGCAAGGGCTCACCAGAGTGCACCCCATCACAGTGCCCATTTGCCGAAAGGATCCAAAAGGATCCAAAAGGTACCATCTTTGAACACTTTGTTGTTCTAGAATATGCAAGAAGGGTTCCAAAATGTTTCAAGATGTCAACATTCTAATTTGAAGCTCAAACAGTCAACCCATGTCCCAAAATTTGGCAATCTGGCTCTGACTGCACTTCTTCTGTGAGAATTGCAAATTAAAGGTAAGATACTCAGAGGCTCACTGGAAAACTCAGCATGCATAGGAAGCACTGAGCTCCTACTGGAATTGCTGGATCTCCGAACGGCACATAACGGCACCATGCCCTCACACGGTGACCGTTGAGGTCTCCGTCATGGTCATGGTGCTGGTCATCGTCTCTGTCATGGTGCTGGTCATCGTCTCTGTCATGGTGCTGGTCATCGTCTCCGTCACGGTCATGGTGGTTGTCGCAGTCACGGTGTCTCCCGCGGTGGTCGTCGCGGTCATTGTCTCTGTCATAGTCGTGGTGTTGCCATCCTCGGCCGCAGCTGATACAGTGTCATCATCACTGCTGCAGCCTTGCAAAGACAGGGACGCAATGAAGCCCAAGCAAATGGCCATGAAAGCGCGCAAAAGCTGCATAATGAAGACGGTTGACGCTGAAAATTTGGGCAAATGCTTTTCAGGGCTCAAGCCTCTTTTCTCTGGAGCCCAAGCAGCCACGATGTGCATTGTCAGCATATGTCAGCACTATATCTGCTGGTGAGATGATGTTCAAGTTTCTCCATCCACAACACGCTTTAAACTTTAAACCTGACACCTTAGGCGCTTTGACAAAAAAAGGATAAAAAAGGCATAGAATGCAAAAATCACATCCTGATATCAAAGGAATCACGGTACGCCACCACTAACAATATCATCAACATCAACCTTTCCCTCCCTTCCCACTTGTCTTTTTTATTCGAAGGCCTCAAACCCTCGCTGAGGAAGGCTCCGAAGATGCAATTGGAGGAATCCTGCCAAAGATCTTTGCTCACGGATGTTCACTGCATCCCAAGCACAAGTTGAGGAACTGAACTTGCCATCACACCGTTGGAGTTCATACAAACTTCGGCTCTGCATCGGGTAATGAAAATGCCTTTGGCAAAAGCAGAATATGAATATGTAATAATTTGTACGTATATGAACGTAATGATCGTAATGTAAACATGCATTTACATTTAGATATGTAAGGTTCCCTTTCTCAATCTCTTTCTCTGGCTTCGAAAGCTGGGTCTTCAAGTTTCCATTGTCCTCCACTATCATGACACACGGCCCAGAGTGTTCAAGCTGCCGGTACATCGTGCGCAAGGAGACACCTTGGTAGCTTCGTAATTGCACATTGCAGCCCCTGTGTAAGCAAGAACTGAATTGACTGAATGAAGGTAAAATAAGGCAAATATTGCCCAGATATGCTCAGATCGCATCCGTTTACAGGTCATGCAGCTGAACCGTGGAGCCAGCAATGCAGTCCATACACACTGCTGATTTGGCCGCTAGCATCTTGGACCCTCTTGGTAACTAAATACAAAATTCTACAAAAGTGAACTGGTCACTGATCGCACATTATTAGTTATCCTGTTTGGGGGCTAAGAACCACATTTCGTGGCCAGAGCCCTTTCTCCAACAAACTGTTCCGCCAGCATTGAGAAAAGAATTCAACATAGACCTGAATTCGTGATCAACGCGCAATACCTGCCCGTGTTTAAGAAAGCGTGCCAAACATTTCATTCTCATACTCCGATATACTCCAATTATACTGAACTTTGGATAACTTTGGGTGTCTTTTCAACGCCACATATGGCCACCAAATACACGTCCGTGCAAGTCGCCTATGGCCTGAAATAGGCATGCTGTGGTCACACAAGGCCCAGGCCATCCACTGCCATGCTGTATCCCAGGATCCACCGCGGTCTGCCATAACAGTAAGTCAAAAAATATTGCAAAAGTTGCAAGATGGGAAGTTTTCAAGCTCAATCATCTATTTCCAGTTTTGGGAATTCCCTTGACTAAATCATGGCTGTAATCTAGACACCCTAAGGCTCCTGGTGTACATCTCCTCATTGGTGCCAGTTTCCAGTTCTTGAGTGATCAACATTGCCCTAACTGTAGCAAACTGGTTGGTCAAATGCCTTCTCTTGCTTTGTCAAAATGTGCTCCCCCTTCCACCAAGTTTTGAAGAACTGGCAAATACACTGGAACTCCTTCCGCTCACAATCTGTATCCATCCTGAATCCTAACACTTGTGTAACCAAATATACTAGCATGCAGGCTATTCAAAAGTGACGCAATGTTTCTAGTTCTTCGCGTAAGCGGTCCTAAAGCTTCATTCAGCAACACACAGCTTGGGCATTTGTATTACAAGGTGTCCACCATTTGTCCGCTAAACCACTCTGGCCACTCTTGCTCCAGAAGTGCCCGGCTGGCCTGATCTGGAGCAAGACTGGCAAACTTCGGACAATGCAGGCCTAAGCTACTAGCTGCTGCTCCCTGCAAACTCTAGTTGCTGGACTTTGTTTGAATTTAAATCTGTATCGTTTCTGTCCCCTGGTTCCTTGCGCGTCCTTATGTATGCCTGTGTGCGTATCAAACTATGCTCAACCCCACCACCGCTGTATGCACACATGTTTTTTTTATTTGTTGCAAGTGGCTTGAAGGCTTCTGACAGCCAATTGGAACGTGGAAAAGTGATTCCACCTTCGGAGCACCGAACCACTATAGCCAAAACAATTATACCATGATCCTTGGCTTCTTTAGCAGGCAGAAATACTGAAATACTATGAAATACTCCCCTTTGGGATATTCTCTTCAGGACTGTCCAAGCTTCACGGGAAGGTAATGTTCTATCTTTATGTCGGATTGAGTTTTCTTCAAGACTTTTGTGCTGACGCCTCACATAAACTTCGAATTCAAAAGAGGTCAACCCCTTGCAGCAAACCTGTGCTGTGTATGTGTATGTGTATGTGTCTGTGTCTGTGTATGTGTATGTGTATGTGTATGTGTGTACACCGACCTTGTTGCCCTCCCTTTCCAAGCTGACCCACCTATATATAATTACACTGACACTCACACTCCACTCACGCGCTCCCAAACACACGCCCTCTGGGCTGTCAGAACCAACAAATCACCACCAGCTTCGGGCAGGATCAGGCTTGTCCCCTTGCAGACTGGGCAGCGCCGAGCAAGTGTCTGTCTGCGTCTGTCTTGCAAGAACATTCTGAGTTCTCGATTCTCGATGTCAAAAGACTGAGGCTGACAAAGCTTTCTTAGAGGGAATAAGATACCATTAGATACCTAAAAGATCTTAAAAGCAGCAAAAAAAACGAGAATCGATGGGAATCAAATGGAATCAATGGAAATCGGAATGATTTTTTTAAAGTTTTGTATGTTTTTGTATGTTTTTGTTCATTGACTGGCTTCTGGCCGCCTTGTGAATGCGTGCGCCAGGCCTCTTTGGGCATTCGACCTGACAATCCAATGTGTTGTTGCTGTGGGCTGTCTCTCGTGAGGTGATTGCCGATTGCGCCGTTGAAGCCGTTGGTTTCATATGGGGTTTCATTACATGCAATATGTGTTCAATTGTGTTCATATGCTTTCGAACCTTACAAGTATGATCACCTTGTTACACACCTTACATCATCTTACATCTCCATTTTCTATTCTTACTGCTTTGGATGGCAAGCGAGGAGGCGATTACGAATGCTGGAGTGCTTGAATTGTTCCTTGACAACAACCTATTCTGAATTTTCATTTCACGGAAAGCCATGAGCTAGGCTGAGCTAGGTGTCCTTTGCAGTCCGAACTCCTCTTCTGTCGTTCCGTTCCACTACTTAGAGGCCGTCCAGCAATGCAATTCACCAACGCCTGGTGGCAATTTCTAATGGAAAATATGATGCTTCCAGGGCTGCGCACCACTAAATCGGGGATCTGCCAGCTGGGCACTTCCACACTTCCAGCACCCAGTTCATCTGCATCCTGCGTGCAAATCGTTGTTTTTGATGTTTTTGGATGGTTGTGAGTACAAATAGCGAGAACAACGGCAGCAGCGTACGAGTCCAAATTCGTTGGTATGAGTGTTCTCCTAGCACTTCTCGTGCCGTTACTGGAACATCACATGGAAAACATGTCAGCAGCTGGACGACTTGCTTGGCATGTGCAGTGCCAGCGTCTTGAATCAAGGACCCTAACAACACCATCCAAATGATGAGATATGACGCTAGTTGTACGGATCAAAGTGGACACATTTCTTTTCTCCACTGGGCAAAGCCAGCCAACAACGGCTAGGCCTGCGTGTTGGCTAGGAAAGGCACTGGGTGAACCTGCAGCGATGTTGGAGGAGACTGAGTGGACTGGGGAAACATCCTGAGGCAATCAGAAAGAGCCCTGAGTTGCCAGGTGTACTAGGCCTACACACGCCTACACTATTCAACGACACAAACATGATAGGACCGGATAACCCCACATGTTACCAACTTCTCGAGACTTAGACTGAGCATAGAAAAGCAAGAAGGGAAGAGGAAGTATAAGAGTGATGGAGGGGGCTAGGCGGATGAGAAGGATGCGGTCAGAAGTGGGGTGATCGCAAGTGCTTCTGTGCTGACCTCAGTGAGTTGTTCAGATGCCCGAGTTGACATGTCCACTTCAGAGCACGCCTGTTTAGAGCTATGTTCATCATAACATGCCATCACCAATAACATATCAGCAATAACCCGTCATCATTTAAAAATAGCTCTATATAACTATTCATCATAAAACCATCTATTTGATGAAGAAATATATCTATTTTAATGTGAATTATCATATTCTAAAAACATCATCATTATTGATGATATTGATGATATTGATGATGATGATGATGATGATGAAGGGGATGACGATGACGATGACGATGACGATGACGATGATGATGATGATGATGATGATGATGATGATGAGCCATGTGCACAGGTGAGTGGGTGAGACTGTGAGTGAGTGATGTGAGTGTGGCGTGTGTGAGTGAGAGATGTGAGTGAGGCGTGTGTGAGTGAGAGATGTGAGTGAGTGAGTGAGTGAGTGAGTGAGTGAGTGAGTGAGTGAGTGAGTGAGTGAGTGAGTGAGAGAGAGAGAGAGAGATGTGAGTGAGTGAGTAAGAGGGTGAGAGATGTGAGTGAGTGAGTGAGTGAGTGAGTGAGTGAGTGAGTGAAGTGAGTGAGTGAGTGAAGTGAGTGAGTGAGTGAGTGAGTGAGTGAGTGAGTGAGTGAGTGAGTGAGTGCGGTGGTGAGTGAGTGATTGAGTGAGTGAGTGAGTGAGAGAGTGAGTGAGTGAGTGAGTGAGTGAGATGAGTGAGTGAGAGAGATGAGTGAGTGTGAGTGAGTGATGAGTGAGTGAGTGTGAGATGAGATGAGATGAGTGAGGAGGTGAGTGAGTGAGTGAGTGAGTGAGTGAGTGAGTGAGTGAGTGAGTGAGTGAGTGAGTA